GCAGGCGGACGGAGCAAGGAGCTAAACCCTGATCAGGCGTGAGAGCAAGGAACTGAACTGTGATCAGGCGTGAGAGCAAGGCTCAGCACCCCGAGGTGCTCTTGCAGCCTGCCCGGGAGGGAGCGCTGCCCATCTCCCTCTGCAGCCACCCAGCTGGGCTGTACCAAAACTTCATTCTGCATTAATTTTCCTCTGTTTCTTTTCTTTTTTTTTTTTTTTTAATTTTTTTTTGAGTTCCCGTATTTTCTCTTATTCAGTACTCACTCAGGTCTTCAGTTGCCCACCTCCCCTTCCAGCCGGGAGCAGGTAGGTGCTCGCGCTGCGGCGCCGTGGGGAGCTGCCTCTGGGGGCACGGGGACACGCTGAGCCCCTCAGGCAGACGCGGCCGTGGACAGGCCACGCGCGGCAGCTTTGTGAGGAGAGACTGCTTATTCCAAAGGCATCACATTCAGAGCCCAAGGAAGCTGCGTGTGCTGTGACGAGCCCCGCTGGCCCTTGCCTGCCACGTCCGCATCCATCCGCCCTGGCAGACAAGCTCTGCTGGCACCTCAGTGCAGGGGAGCCAGGCGGCTTTTGCTGCACTCACACAGGTGACTTCAGGCACACCAAGAAGCAAAACACAGCACAGAAGCTGCAAGGATTTCCCAGCTGCCTGTAGCCTGCGTACAGTGGGGAAAAAAAAGCATCATTTTAAAATGACCAGTCTTAACTCCCATATTTTTGAGCGGAGTTTTGCATGCAGTGAAAACCGGTCAGCTGMCCACCTAAGCCAGGCTCTTGCTGCCCCGGCTGCACGGGGGTGACTGTCACCTCCCTGCACTCAAGCCACTGCTCTTCCTCAGAGCTTTCAGAACAGATTCATTTGTATAAAAGTGAGCTATTTTGGTGCACTTAAATACTGTAAAGGAGGAGCAAGCAATGCAGATTGCATGGATGGAGATAACTGAAAGCAAATACGGGCACAGGCCACCTCCTCTTCTGGCTACCTATAGGGCATGTTTTCACGTGTTTCAAATAGAAGGTAAAATCAGCGATGCCAAATTCAACTGTGAAATTCTGGCTCCTCTCCTCATCTCTAAGCTCCTCTGCAGCCTACAAGGATGTTTACTGTCTGAATAGGAATAAACTGAAGGACTTGGGCCTTTGTATGCCTAAACTGCAGCCCCTCCATTTTATTCTATATAACCCAAAATGTGGTTTGACTTTTAAATGATAGCCATGTGTCTACTTCTTGACCACAGTGACATATAGGAGTCAGAAGGCTGCAGCAGATAACTTGGGGAAGAGTATAATAGCTCCGGCAGGTTTTAGGGCAAGATCACAAGGACCAGATAAGGTTTCTAGAGCTGGCCAAGTCCTGGAGGAGTGAGAAGTGCCGGCTGGACTGCTGTCCAGTGCAATGCTTCCTTGGTAAGAAATGCAAATGCAGAGCCCAAACCATATCCCGGGAAAATTTAGCACTTGTGTGTAAGCAGCAGTTGAGAGAATGGCATTAAGAGCCAGGACTGGGTTTAAGAAGCCCTCCTGAGGACTATAAAAGAGAATGAGGAGGTAAAAACTGCCTTATTGCTGTGAAAAGCAGGGGCCAGCTCCTGGCCGTGCCAGCAAGGAGAGGCACCGTGAAATGGCCGATGTACCGGGCCAGAGGGCATGGAGCAGGGGAGAACCCCTGCTCGTAGCGGGCAGCAGGGAGACAGCCCCGCTCCGTTCCCCAGGGAGCAGGGATGCAGCCTGGAGCAGCGGGGGCTCCGGTGCCGCCGGCAGCCAGGTTCCACGCACGCTTCCCAAGCGGATCGGCCGGCATGGCGCTGCAAGGGGACGCGTCGTTGCAAGCTGAGCCCGAGATTGCTGTCTGGGTGAGAAATGCTCCGCTCTCCACAGACCTGTGGATGAGCCCAGCCCAGTTTGCTCTCAGTTAAATTTGATAGATGAGATTATTCATAGACAAGATTTTACTTCATCACCAAACCAGTGCCTGCTGGGCACRAAGAGGGTATGAAACCATAATGCAGACCTTGTGAGGAGGTGGCTAAAAAGCCACAGGAGTGGAGTGGGCACGGAAGCGTGGCTGGGGCTGCTCCTTGGGGCTGCAGAGAGCCGCGGGCAGTCTGGCAGCGCGGGCTCCGCGCTCACGTCTGGGGCAGCGCGTCGGGGGGCTGCCCACAGCCGCGCTTCGCACCGGGCAGCTGCCTCCCACACGGGGCCGTTGCCTGCAGCGGGGATCAACGTCCTTGCTGCAAGCCCTGGGCCCGGCTCCCAGCCGCACTTCGTCAATGAAATCAGACCAGAGCGGAGCTCGGCGGCGTGCACGAGCGCGTGGGTGYACTTTGCCAGCCTGGTCATCATTGATGCAAGAAGGACTGAGCTGCTGCCCGCCTGGCCACGGCCACGGGAAAGGAGCCACGGATGTCGCTGGTGGCTCTTGCAGCGCTCTGATGCATATGCCTGTGATGAGCCTTCCTGCTGGGACTGACTGCTGGTGACGTGCAAGGCAGTGTCCCCTTTGTCAGGCTTGTTGGGACACTGTGTCTTGTAGGGCCATGTTCATGAACCTGTCTGCAAGGGCTGCCCCATGGAGACCTTGTGTCCCATCCACGGAGGTAGCYGGAAGCTTGGTGCTCCCAAAGCCTGGAGAAGCAGTGGAGATGCTGAAGAACCTCTTGTCCAAGGGCAACTGCCCTCTTAGGGAACACAAGAGGTTTCTGGTGAAGGTGGCATGAAAACCATGGTTAGTTAACAGGGAGCTCTGGCTGCCTTAAAGCCCTGCAGCAGAGGTAAGGCTTTGGATTTTGTGCTTTCTGCTTCTGGAATCATAGGGAGCTTGGGTGTTAGGGAGGCAGTTGCCACCAAGTCATGGGAGAAAGCTGCCTGGCCTCYCTGAGAAAGGGAGAAAAAGAGAAAGAGAAAGAAGTGAGAGTGACAATGAGAGAAAGAGAGAGAGAACAAAAGAGAAAAATGTAGAAGGAAGAAAATCCATGGAATACATTTATTTATTTATTACTCCGTCTCTATTGACTCACATGTGCACTAACCAATTTCCACAGATTTACTGCAACTATCATGATTACTGTCAAAAATAAAAAATATCATGCCAGAGCATACAATTTTCCCATCTTGTGGCATCAAGCCCCAATTGAGCAGACCCTGTCCAAGCACATTTTAAGAAGGTCACTTCCTCAAAGAGCTTGGATTACCCATGCAGCACCCGAAGTAGGTCAGGACTGCAGACAGGTCAGTGTGGACTACCGAAAGGAGAGAGGATATTAGTCAGTGTCCTGGACATCAGTCCCAGCCCTCAGAGGAGAACAAATCTTGAGAAAAATATTCCTAAGAATCAAAGCAGAGAGTCTGGAGGAAGAGCTTTACAGGAATCTCCTCAAAATCCTGGCAGAAGACTATCAGAAAAAGCAGCAAGTGCTTTTACCAAGCACTGAGACCATGGAGTGGTGGTGGTGGCCGGAATTTGGGGTGGAGCTCCCCAACACAAACGGGAGCTGATGGGAAGGCTTTGCATGGGCCACAGCCACGATAGGCACGGCCTGCCTTCCCGGGCCAGGTCACCATCTCTGTGGTGTCCATGTCAGGAGAAGCTCAGATGATTCCGGAAGGATCTGGGGAAACCCTCACATCAGAAAGCTCCTCCAGCTCCAGGGTCTTAATGCAGTCCTGCACCCCACTCCTCTGTACTAGTTAGGCAGGTTTTTTTCCTCAAATCTTTTTTTTTTTAATAGCTGATCCTTCCCTACGCAAATGTGGATCTGCTTGAGCTCACAGCTAAGAGTGGCAGCTACATTTCATTCTTTCGTTTTCTTATGAATTATTCAACTTAGTCCTTCAGCTGTGAGGAGAAAGGGAAGAGGATACGAACGCTTTGCCACAAATCTGCTCRTACACTTTGGGCTGCGAAGCTCACAGAATAGCTAAGATGTGAGATACAATCACTATGAAATTAAATGTAATGATGTTAGTGTAACAAGGATGAGCACTGGAAAACATGGTGTTTTCCAAGGACAAAGCCTAAGATGCTAGGCTAGCACTGACAAGCTTGGATACGATGCTGTGGAAGACTCCAGAGGGAAATCTCCCAATAGGGAGCTCCACTAGCTGGTGGCGTCATTTCCCAAGAAGTCTGATTCCCGGACTGCAAACATTTAAAAATAGGTTATTAAAATGAAATTAGAAAAAAAGACAGACTAGCCATTGGCATGATCGTGCTTCAGTTAGGAGACCAAAGATGGAAAGCACTAGTGTGCCTCTTTGTTCTTGAAATTCTAGCTGCTGAGCACAGAGGCTCAAAGCTCAACTCCACAGCAGGGCTACCATGGGTTTTGTCCAAAAGCCCCGGGCAGAAACGCGGCCACATGTGCTGCCCAACTGTGCACAACTGTGCACACATGGCCAGGCCAGCTGCATGTGCTGGTCCCCGGCGCAGGTTGGGGCTGGCCCCTCAGCTGCCGCCCCGCCAGGGCTGCCGGCACATCCCACCGGGAAGGGGCAGGCTGGGAAAGCCCTGCTCGTGGCTCGTGTTTTCCCTAGGCGCTTGTGTTGTTCAGCGAGGGGATATAGGTGGCTGGTGACTGAGACCTGGACTTGGCCCTCTGCAAGCTCATGTCCTGTGGCAGGATCAAGGACTGCCTGCGCCTGGACTTAGTGTGAGKGAGACCCATCTGCGGGAAATGGGGCGCTGAAGCGGGGAGCAGGAGGCTGCTGACCGGGCATGTCCATGAGAGGTGCCAGGCACTCAGACCCTGCTGGGGGCTGCCTGGCAGCCCCACGGACCAAGGGAAGCTGCCGGCATCGGCAATCTCTCATTTTTCCCATCCCTGCCCACTATCATCATCCTAGGATCTCTGTCAAAGTACTTTTTTTCCTCTTGTTGATGGTTCTGCCCAAAATGAACAGTTGATCATAAGATTTACATCCATTTCCTTCTCTGTTTCTTTCTCTCCACCCTTGTTCCTGCAAACCTCACCCTGCCCTCCTCCCTCTCACCTAAATAGGTAAAGAAAGCAGCTTGGGAGAGGCCGACTTGCAGTCGAGCTCCGACCCTTCAGGAATGGACAACAGCTACCTCAGCGTGAAGGAGGCCGGGGTGAAAGTCCCCCAGGACAGGGCCAGCACTGACCTCCCCAGCCCCATGGACAAGGCCGACTCAGAGAGCAACAAGGGGAAAAAGCGGAGGAACCGCACCACCTTCACCAGCTACCAGCTGGAGGAACTGGAGAAGGTCTTCCAGAAGACCCACTACCCAGATGTCTACGCCAGGGAGCAGCTAGCCATGAGGACAGACCTCACCGAGGCTCGAGTGCAGGTAAGGGGGGAGCTCTGGGTGCACAGCTGGGCCATCCTGCTAACCAGCCGGAGCTTTCCCGACCTCTGGGAGCAAACTCAGGATCCTGGCAATGTCTTTGTCTGAAACGAGTGCCCGCTCCTTTATCTGGGGCAAGTGTCCCAAGCTGCAAGGTTCATAGAGATGGCTCTTGCTTTCAGCTAACTGGACACTGTAGAAGGTAAGACTCACTGTCACCCTACAAAACTGTTTCAAATGGACTTTTCTTTAGAAGAACTGGCAGGTTCGTTAGGTGATATAGATAGAGAGGTTTTGCTCCCTAATTGGATAAGGAGGCACTGAGAAAGGGCAGACAGGCACAGCCACCATCCTGGAAGCAGCAGGAGAGCTAGACAGCCATGCTGCAATCTCCCCACCAGCTCTCACACACTAAAAAAGTGAGGCCTGAGCTTTGGCAAAGCCAAACTCCACAGGAAATAACTAGTGACTCTCTGACTTGCACTCTTTCCTCTGTATCGATATTAAAGTCCTGACAGAGCTCAGAAGTGAAGGAAGGAAGGAAGGAAGGAAGGAAGGAAGGAAGGAAGGAAGGAAGGAAGGAAGGAAGGAAGGAA